CCCTCCTGGCTCTGTGTCTGTGTCCCCCACACACACACCACGTCCCTGCTGTGTCCCTTGCCCCTCCCCTTCCCCTCCCCATGTCCCCTGTGCCCCTCCTGCCCCCTCTGCATGTCCCCTGCCCTGTCTCCTCATGTCCCCTGTCCCTCCATGTGCCTCATCATGTTCCCTGCCCTCCTTCCCTACTCATGTTTCCCACTCCTCCCCGTGTCCCTGCCCCTCCCCCTGTCCCCACCAGGCTCCCCGTGCCCCCCGCCATGGCGCAGACGCTGCAGATGGAGATCCCCAACTTTGGGAACAGCATCCTGGAGTGCCTGAACGAGCAGCGGCTGCAGGGGCTGTTCTGCGACGTGTCCGTGGTGGTGAAGGGCCATGCGTTCAAGGCCCACCGGGCCGTGCTGGCCGCCAGCAGCTCCTACTTCCGAGACCTGTTCCACAGCTCCAAGAGCGCCGTGGTGGAGCTGCCGGCGGCCGTGCAGCCCCAGTCCTTCCAGCAGATCCTCAGCTTCTGCTACACTGGCCGCCTGAGCATGAACGTGGGCGACCAGTTCCTGCTCATGTACACGGCAGGCTTCCTGCAGATCCAGGAGATCATGGAGAAGGGCACTGAGTTCTTCCTCAAGGTCAGCTCGCCCAGCTGCGACTCGCAGGGGCTGCACGGCGACGACACGCCGGGCTCGGAGCCGCAGAGCCCGGTGGCGCAGACGTCGGCGGGGCAGGGCTGGGCGCTGCCCCTGGTGTCCCGGGTGAAAACGGAGCAGGGGGAGCCCGACGGCGTCCAGTGCACCTTCGTGTTCAAGCGGCTCTGGGACGGGGGGCCCAAGGACGCCGGGGGCAACGGCAGCAGGAAAATGGCCAAATTCTCAGACGCCGCCACTGCAGCCCCACGCCCGCCCAACCCCCCTGGAGCCAACCTCGCCCCGGCACCCACCCCGGTGCCACCCACGGCCGACCAGACCAGCCCCGGGGGCACCTCCAGCGCCTACACGAGCGACAGTCCTGGGTCCTTCCACAACGAGGAGGATGAGGAGGAGGATGGTGGTGAGGAAGGCTCAGATGAGCAGTATCGGCAGATCTGCAACATGTACACCATGTACAGCATGATGAACGTGGGCATGGCAGGTGAGACCCCAAGGGTGGGGGGGGGTGGTGTTGGGGGAGATGCCCTTGGGGTGGAGTCAGATGAGACCCCACCCATTGGGTGTGAGAAAAGTAGGGCTTGGGGATCAGGTGTGTGTTGGTGGGAGGTGTGGTCACATGTGGGTGTGGCCATCTAGGTCCTGCCCACATGCTGTGAGCCAATGAGATCCCACTGCTGGGGTTTGGGGTGATAAAGCTCCACCCCAGGGGGTGAGGTTTGGGTGAAGAGGGGGTTATAGGGGATGTGGTCACACGAGGCTCTGCCCATGGGGGGCGTGGTCAAAACAGGTGAGCTCCCTGACCCCCTCCATCCTCCATGGGCACATCAGAGACACCCCAAGACTCAGGGGGGGATCCCCAGGGTCTGTGCACCTCCATGTACCCCCTCTGACCCCCCCGTGCTCCCCCAGCCCTGGAGAAGATGGAGGCCCTGCCCAAGCAGTCCCTTCCTGGAGTCCTGTGGCTGGACTGGAGTGCATCCCTGGGATCTGTGTCCCCCTGTATGACCCCGTGCCCCCCCTTCAGTGACTCCCCCCTTACCCTGCCATGCCCCCCCCAGCCTCAGAGAAGGTGGAGGCCCTGCCGGAGCAGCCCCCCCCAGAGCCCCGTGCCCGTTTCCGTGTGCGCCAGGACCTGGCGTCGTTGCCGGCCGAGCTTGTCACCCAGATCGGGAACCGCTGCCACCCCAAGCTCTACGACGAGGGGGACCCCGCTGAGAAGCTGGAGCTCATCACCGGTACGGAGGGAGGGTCCCCGGGGGGTTCGGGGGCCCTCCCTCAGCCCTGCTGACCCCCCCCCACGTGCCCCCTCCCCAGGCACCAACGTGTTCATCACGCGGGCGCAGCTCATGAACTGCCACGTCAGTGCGGGTACAAGGCACAAGGTGCTGCTGCGCCGCCTTCTCGCCTCCTTCTTCGACCGGTGAGCAGCTCTGGGGGTCCCCCGCCCCCCAGTTGGGGTCCTGGAGGGTTTGGGGAGGGGTTTACAGCGGTTGTACCTCACCTCCTCCAGGAACACACTGGCCAACAGCTGCGGGACCGGGATCCGCTCATCAAGCAACGACCCCAGTCGAAAACCGCTGGACAGTCGGGTGCTGCATGCGGTGAAGTGTGAGTGGGGGCCTCTCCAAGGGGCTGGGCTAGGTTCGGGGGGCCCTGAGAGCACCCTGGGAATGAGAGGGGCACATGGGGCCTGGGGGGCTCAGGTGGACACAAGGGAACACCTTGGGAATTTGGGGGTCAGGAGGCTATGAGGCCACTCTAGGAATGGGAGGGGCCTGGGGTGCCGGGGGGCCCAGGGAAGGAGGTTTTTAGGGCTAATGTTGTGCCAAGAGGGGAACAGGGAAAGAGACCCCACAGCTGCCTTTTAGAGCCAAACCTCCCCCCAGCCCACCCCCTGAGCTCTGCCATGACCCCCAACAGCCTCGAGTTGCTTTTGCACCCCAAGAACCTCTCCCCACGTGTCCCCCCAAGTTTAAAGCCCCAGGGCTGGGACAAGGAGGGACCCCAGGACTGGGGGTACCCCTGGGAGGTGCCAACGCAACACCACTCCCCCCCATGCCTGCAGTTTCCCAGCACTAAGGAGAGGACAAGGGGAGAGACCCCACAGCTGCTCGTTTCCGGTCAAGCCTCTCCCTGAGCCCCTCCTTGTGTCCCTCCTCCCCCAGTTTACTGCCAGAATTTCGCCCCCGACTTCAAGGAGAGCGAGATGAACGCAATCGCGGCCGACATGTGCACGAATGCACGGCGGGTCGTGCGCAAGAGCTGGATGCCCAAACTCAAACTGCTCATGGCTGAGGGCGACTCGTACACCTCCTTCATCAACGACACCGGCAAGCTGGAGCCCGACATCATGGGCCCAGAGCCCCCATTTGAGGCAGGGGGGCCCGAGCCAGAGGGGGCTCCCCCTGGGGAGGGGCTGCAGTGACCCCCCCCGACCCCACCCTAGGGACCCCCGATGGGGAGGGTGGAAGGGGGGACCTGTGTTGGGACAGTTGGGGAAACCCCCTTGGGAGCCCCCCTGACTGGGAACACCCCCAGACAGGTCTCTCCAGGGGTAGGGTCCTCCCATGGGACAGGAAACCCCCCAGACAGATTCCCCCCGGGGGTAGGGACCCCCCTCCATGGGACAGGGGACCACCAGGAGTAGGGACCCCACCAGTGGAGGGGGACCCATGCTGGGAGAGTAGGGGGAGTCCTGTGGTGGAGGCACCCCCCCACCCCCCCACTAAATGGAGCCCCCAGTGGTAGCGACTCCTCCCAAACAGGGGCCCCCAGGGTAGGGACCCCCACCATGGGACAGGACCCTCCCAACTGGGAACCCACAAGGGTTGTGACCTCCCAAACAGTGACCCCCCACCTGGGCACCCCCAGGGTCAGGGTCCCACTGGCCAGGACCTCAGGGAGGTGTGGGGACCCCTGTGGTAGAGGGACCCCCCAAAAATGGGCACCTCGAGGGGCAGGGACCCCTCCCATTGGACAGGGCCCCACCAGAAATGGACCCTTTTGGTTTAGGGACCCCCAAGACAAGCAGCCCCAGGGGCTGGGACCCACCCGTGGGACAGGAACCTCCCCAGATGGGGATCCCCAGGAGCTGGGATCCCCCAAGCAGGGACCCCTTTGATTTAGGGACCCCTGCAAATGGACCTCCCTTCCCCAATGGGGCAGGGACCCCCCAACCAGGGACCCCTTTGGTTTAGGGACCCCCCCACAGGCACCCCCTGGGGCAGGGACCCCCAGCGATGCCCAGTGCCACTGTGGGACCCCTCCCCAGTTCGGGGGTCTGGTGCCCCCCCTGGGCTTTGGGGGCTTGGAGAGGGCAGCAGTTTCTGGGCAGCTGCCCAGAAACTGGCCACATTTTGGGGGACCTGGGGGGGGGGGGGTCTCAGCTTAGGCTCTGGGGGTACCATGTCCCCTCCCTGGGGCCGATGTGACTCCTGGACCCCCCGTGTGGCCCCCACGTCCCCCCCATCGTGTACCCCCCGGGGCCACTGTCTGCAGGCACCTGCATGTGTGTCCCCTGCCGTGTCCCTCCTGTCCTGTGTGTCCCCCCCAGGGACCCCCATCCCCCCCAGCATGTGTCCTTCCTGTGTCCCCCCCAAGGCTGGAGTGTCCCCAGGTGACCCTGTGTCGCCCCGCCGGTCACCTGTTGGTGTGTGTTCCCCCACAGGGGTGGCACCTGTGTTTGTGCCCCCCCCCCCCCGCCCCCGGCACAAAGGGGATGTCCCCCCAAGGAGCCAGAACCCTCCCAAAATGAGGTTGGGACACCCCAGTAGGTCTGGGCTCCTACAAACTGGGGAGTCCCCTGTCATTCTCCCCCCCCACCTTGGGGTCTGTCCTTAGTAAAAGTGGGGATGTGTGACCCGGGGTGGGGGGCTGAGCAGGGACTACAGGTGAGCAGGAGCGATTCTGGGGGGGTGCTCAGGTTGGGGTCCCACCTCTGCAGGGGGAGGGTCGGGGGTGGGATGGGGGTCAGGGGGCCCCCCCCAGGGCTTTGCTCCAGCTTCACTCCCACAGGGAAACTGAGGCACCGTTTGACAACCCCCCTCCCACCTACTCATTGTGGGGGGGTCTCCAGGTGTTCCCCCCTCCCCGAACCCCCCCCAGGTCTCCTGACGTTCGGTCAAGTGCCTTACCCGCCCCCCTCCCCTGGGCTCTAATTGTGTCTCTGCTG